AACACAGGCGCGGGTTTTCAACCCGCCTATTCACCTAGTTCATACCCACCATGGACTCCGGTCAAGTTCATACTTGGTGTCTCTGTAGATCCTGTGCCGAGGATGCCAATCAATCAGAAATCTCAAACGCTGTCGAAGTGATCCACCTAGAAATGTAAGTTGAGGAGGCTGGTCTACCCTGCTTACCCTAGCCATAACACATAAACATGTGTTTTCCGTCTTGCCTTGACTCTCTAGTACATCTCTCATAGCAACTCAAAGCTTGAACCAAGTATAGAAGGAACTCCTCCGGGCCGACAATATTGGCCAAATGGGGGATGATGATCGGTTGTGAATCGTGTCCTTGGTGAGAAACCCTTTTCGTGTCTTTTGCACAACTCCTAACTCAGATCGACGCCTACCTGAGGCGAGAGCTAGTAAGAAGACTGTTTTCCATGTCAAATATTTCAGTGGTGCTAATTACAGCAGTTCAAATGGTGGTCCACTTAGAGCTGACAACACAACCGACAAATCCCAATTGGGTGGTTCCCTAGATTGGGGTCTAGAACTCTGATTATGAAAAGCAGTAAACAGTCTCCCAATAATAGGACAATGCCAGCCACTTAGAATCTGTGCGTGTCTGCACACTGCTGGGCTCATTGGTAGTGTGCCGTCCAGTTGGGACAGCAGATCGGGGATGTCCGGAAGCCCTACTGGTGTCTCGACTAACATTTCCAACAGTAGTGAAAACCAGGCTTTGGTTGGCCAGTTGGTCGCCACGAGTGTCATTATGCAGGTGTGCTCCTGTCTAAGTTTCTCCAGTACCCTGTGAATTAGTGGGAAGGGAGGAAAGGCGTATGCATCTATGTAGGCCCACGGGATCGATAATGCGTCTGCGCCCACTCCTCTCACTCACACCCCCAGGGCCACCTGGACTGACGACGTGGCGAAACCCAAGCCTGGGCAACACTGTCAGCCTCGGGAACACGAATGCGCTCATGGAACACAACTTGGGTCCTTGTGACAAAAACCAAAACCATGCACAAATTCATAAATAAAATACATAAATAACATATACAATGGAGGTTCCAACCCAGGAGGTCCTGATGGCAATTCCCGAAAGGCCGAGGAGACTTTAGGGGTGATACCACAAGAGCCCTTCTTGGAGTGCTTCGGCAAGTTCCCTTTCTTCATGTCGGCCATTTTTAGCTACATAAGAAATGAACAAGGCAAGCATGAGTGGAATGAAATTACACCTGAAATTGACACAATGAAACCATACAAAAGTAGCCATATGTGTCACTCGGTACCAAAAGAACACGGGCCCCTGTAAGAAAATTGTTATCTTACCAGACACCACGTCTTACTGTTACTATAGGCACAGAATGGAGTACCTCAGAAACTCAGCTGTGAAAAAACTGTTTTGCTTGCGATGTACAGTCGGTGTGGGGAAACAAAAAAAGTGAATATAAGGCAAGATAAGCGAAGTGGAAGACAATCCTTAGGTCATGGGCTTCCCCTGACCTGGATTTCTATCTCCATCATTGGCTGAATCAGAGACTAACCCTTATCCTACCACTCCAATGTACTTTTACATTGACTTGACCAGATAACAGGATAAATGCCTACAGTTCAAAATAGTCATTTTGACTGACCGGAGTCTATGGTGGGTAAATGAACATAGTGAATTTATTGGAGTAAAAATTAATGGGACAGTATACATTTGTATTACATGGTAATTAAAAAAATAAATTGACAACAAATAAATAAGCCATGATATGTTTACCATAAATATAAATTCAATGTTGGTTGCAGGAATATATTTTTCTTAGACTCAAAATATTTAACTACATATATACATGTATGCTGCCTGGCCGACTATATCTCAATGCATATACATCTTACAACCTTTAATTGGATATCATCAGTATAAATTTTAACCCCAAACCATACAATGAAACAGAAGGTACAAGGGAATTTACGATAGTTATTAATTGTGATGACGATAACATGATAACATGTAACCCCTGCACCAATGCTGATAAGATATATAGTTGCACTTTATATGACAATGTAAATATGGTATAATTTGGATAGACAAATTTAACAATCTAATAATAAATAACATATTTTGAATTTCTTTTTTATAATCTTGTGATATAACCAATCTTTTGTACAAGTATGTATGATAATATATTTTGAAGTGTACTTAAGGTTTTATATGTGGTGACAACAGGAGTGGTCTTTCCGAATTGGTAATCTTTTATAAATAGAAAAAAAAAAATTCCTTTTCAAAAGCCTATATAGGTACATGTACCTGATGTTTTTCTAGACAATGGGGAAAAACGCAGCTCAGCTAGTACAAGTATATGTACATTTATTTTTTGCTATTTTTTCAATTTATTGGAGTGTGGTGCCATGGGATTGAATACATTTTGCAACACGGGATACTTCCCAAACGGCCTTGGGCATTGCCTTCCATGTAGTAGCTGTAGCGAACTGAGCAAACCTCCAGATGGCTGCAGTGTGTGTGGTAAGAACTGATATTTTTTTTTACGTAAATACATGTAACTTCACAAAATAGTGGACTGTTTGTCCTGATACTATGCTCCATAAATCAAATTTAATTTAAGATTTACTGTCAGAGGAATGTTTTGTTCTCTATTGCCAACCGGTGTCTGAAGATCATAATCTGATTAGAATTGTTCGGGTCAAACAAAAATGTTCTGACAATTTAAAAATTCATGGTTCACACTCATACCAAAGTAATCAAACAAAATAAACTAAATCTACATTAACAACTTCGCTTCAGCTACACTTGACAATCATTCCTTACCTTTGTTCCATTCCCAATGTAAACATTGCTGGTTATAAAAGGAAAATATTAAAGGAAATTTTTTTTCTTTGAAGTGACAGTCAGTGTTTCATGTCAAACTTTCTAACTTTATATATTCATACTAAAATAATTCAAAACACCAACAATTTAAGATTTGTGAATTTCTATTTTATTTGCAGAGACATCCACAACATTACCATTTACAACGATTGCAAAAGCCAGTGATAATTTAGGTGAGTGAGTCATACCATTAGATTGTTGGGGTAAAACACTATAGCTGCTGGAAGGGACAGCAGCTAATATAATACCAATATATACCTTGACTCAGAACTGTTTGAAACCACAATAATAAAATCAGCTCAATGATTAATAATTTCTATGGAATCTTTATGATATTGTTTTAAAATGATAGCATATGGTAACGCAAGTAGTGAGATATGCAAAGAAGATCCAAATATGAATTCCCAGATTTTGCAAATTGCAAGATATAATCACAAAATGAAAAGAATAATGTATATTTCTTGAAATGTCAATGAAGATGAGTCTGTGAGACAATTGATATGTGTTCCTGTCCCGCTGTTTTTGCTAGTGTCCTTGTTTATTTGCAAAGAGCATAGAGTTTTGAATTTTTTGAGTGGTGATAACCTCACCCCCGCTAATGCAATTGAAACATTTCCAAGAATTCAAGTGTGTTATGTAATTTCATTGGTTAAAATACATTCGATTGAAATGGAATTGCAAGATCATTCATTTGTTATTACCGGTACATATGATATACGGTACATAATTATCATACTTACATATGTTATAAATCCTTGTTTAAAATCATACTTTTGATTCAACAGGTGGTTTCAACACAAATTGGTTGATATTGATTGTGGGGCTACTACTACTAGTTCTTACATGCATGATATTATTCTTTTTTGTTTACAAGCATTGCAATGCCTGCAAAAAGAAAGCTCAGCATAATAATGCAACTAACAGAGAAACAGGTATCGATAAGCAGCTTTGTTTTCATTTTATTTCATTTTAACATCAGAGACCATCAAAAATGTGTCTGCCTGTGATACATCATGCATAAAATATTTGTAATTGGAACCCACGTAGCATGAATGACTTTACAGCAGAAACATTTTTAGGATGACAGTCATTTCTATTTTTCAGAGATGAATGATATTGAGCAAGGTATGGAGAACAGTGTGACTGATAATCTCGCCAGTGATGAAAGTATCGCAAATGGAATTCAAGAGACAAATACAGTCTAAAATATTCATATGGATATGTACGATCCCAGTACACAATACTGCTATAAGAATAATATAGGATTTGCAACATGAGTCATTTTCTGGTAAAACAAAGCTTTGAATTGGTCACCAACAGAATATCACACTTGATCTAGAAAGAATGCGTTTATTATATAAATATTTGACAAGTTTATCTGAATCTATATGTTGTATAATCCTATGTTTATTTAAGAACCTCAAAACCAAAGAAGTCACAATATAACAGATTACACTACCTCTGAGTTACATAATTTAGTGTAGTGTTGCATGATGGGTAGATTGACTGAAGTGGCATTGTTATTCCTAAGGTGGACCTAATTATTTAAATTGTATTTCACAGTCAAACCAGTTGGGTCAGTAGAAACCTTGACAAAAAATACATTCCAAAATATGACAATGATTTTAATTCCACCAGAGCTGAAATTAATATTAAGTTTTTATAAATTCTGTACAGAATAATGTCAGATGGATATTTTATTATGACAAAATATATTTTTATTTTCCAAACATGTACATAATTTTCCTATTCAGATTCCTTGTATTTACATCTTTACTCTATCATTTACAGCTTGGCTATAGAATATACAATTTGTTAATGCCAAAGTCTTCTGTCACCTACAAAATTTTCAATCTCAGATATTTTTTTTTTATTTCAAAAAAATGTGATCAAAATTTGTAGCTATTGGGAAATGATTTGGAAGAATTTTTGGCAAATAAATATGCAAAATTTTGATTCCAATTTTTGACAGAGAAAATGATGGCGATCAAAGGGAGAAAGAAATACTGGTTTATTATGTTGGATATGATATCTTAAATAAATCTTAATATATTAAATTACAAGACAAGTGTGTTCAATGATGCTTATTTAACACTGCAAGTATGAATGGTATATTCAAGTTATAATCAGAAGTATTCCTATGAAGTTTTGTATATGTGACAGCCAAATGTGCCTTCCCTTATAAAATATAGCCCAAAATGTCAACAAAACATATGAGTGAAAGAATTTCAGCAATCAGTGTTAAGGTGTCGTGTATAGCTGCCATCAGAGGACAGTGGCACACAGCATTGTTCTGACTTGATTGGAAGAAATTAACAGAATATAAGACTGGGATGACAATGTTCTGGTGTGATGATACTACAATGTTTTAGTCTAATAGTACAAGTCATATTTGTACTTGGCTTTTATGCATCCTCTGAAACACCATACATACACACACTTGAGATGCTGAATTG